TGAGAATTTCCACAGCATCAACGGAAAGGGGATTTGGACCCATCGCCATAGAATGAACCAGTGTGGCCTGAGGTGGGTGTCTCGGGTTGAGACTAGTCACCTCTCCCTTGCGCCTTGAAAAATGCTCCCATACGAACAAGCGTCTCAAATATTCTCTGCTGAGGAAGCCCTAATTACTGCCTTCTCGTGGCAGGGTAATTTCCCACCAAAATGAGGGGACGAAAAGTTGGGCGGTGGTGGCCAGGTGGTAACGTCATCAAATTACCACCTCGGGGGACGTGTGTTTGAACCCCACCACCACCGCCGGACTTCCCCCATGGTAGCCCTTTGATTGGCCGCTTCCCTCTTCCTGAAAATTGAATCATTGTGTATTCAATAAAAGGAAGTAAAAATTAAAAAAAATATATCCGGGGCTATCAGGTCGGCGAACGACTGGCAGTTCATCCAGGGGAGTTGGCTAAAAAACCTGACCGCAATTCACCTTGATTCATATACCTTCATATCGCTCCCAACTGTTCTCTATTTAGTTCAGATCTGGGCTTCAGGCAGGAAGAGCCATCAATTTAATATAGTGGAAAAATTACTAGCTTTTGTTTACATCTGAATGGTGAACTCCGGCATTATCCAGATTGAATACAACTTTTGATTACAATGTTAGCGTTTTCTTACATCGTACACCAGGTAGCTAAACGCGTTCGGTCGCTTTAAGCTGAATTTTTTCTCACCACTGAAGCAGACGCATTGCGACTTGCTTGATCAAGCAATGTAACTTTTAGCCCACAAACTAAGGGCCTCTAGTTACCGTGTTGTAAGTGTCATTTACGTGTTATTTTCTTTCACCTGGTCCACAACAGTTCTTGCGAATTCGTTTCGGTCGATTTCAAATATCTGGTCCACGGAGAGCTCTTATTTTTGAGGCACTACTTCCAGAATAACAAGTCAAACGTATAAACTAGTACCTATCTTCCGTCAAATGTTTCCGAGTATAGCCCCTTTGATTTATTTTACCTTTGTGTTACGATAGTCCGACACAAAAACACAGTAGATACTGCTCGGTTGCATAGAAGCAGTAGAGTTCCTCAAAAAAACAGTTCGCTCAGGTGTTTACTGCAACAACACACGAAGCATTGCAGATTCCAAGCAAACTACCCTGTATACCGTACCCGTCACTGGATAACATGGCTTTTGACAGTGAGAAAGTTAGAACAAAACTATTAACTTTGCGTAAGAATTCATCCCCAGGTGCGGACAACATGCATCCCCGGACTCTGATGTCGCTAACCAATAACATTTCCAAACCTCCGGCTATTCTTTACCAAAGGATGTTCAACAAGGCAGTAATTCCGC